CATTAGACATAATGTGTAAGTAGCACACATCAAGAATAAAATGAAAGAATTATTTCAGACGGTTTAACTATATCATACATCGAACATGCAGCAATCAATAGGTGCAAAATCATGGTGAATGAATATAGCAAAATGGAATGAGGTACACCTAAAATTATATGAAATAAGTTAGTTTGAGATGTCTACAATCTCTTAGAATCACTAAAATCTAGCAAAAATATGACACAATGGAAGAAATAAGATCTATATAGGTGATGCTTGTTAGTTGGAACTATGTTTGGTCATGTTAGTACGTTGTGCATTAGCTCTTATGTTTTCAAAATTGTTTTAATTGTTTTTTAAATTTATATGCCAGTAAAAGATATAGAGAATTTTAAAACATATTATTAAGATTAAAAATATTTAAAACTTTGACAATGTACAAAATTTAAAGTTAGACTTGCTACTTATTTCACAGATTTAACAAGTTAAACCTCAAATTTGCATTGCCTAAATAAATGAAACATTACCTTTTTTCAAGAAAAAACTGAGCTAAGGACTTTGAAAAAGCTAAGAACTTGCACAAAAGTGAAGTCTACTTTGGTGGAGTTTCTACGTAGCATAAGAAGCAAATTCTGCAGCAATTAGGATTCACAGCTGGAGAATTACCCTTCAAGTACCTTGGAGTTCCACTAACAACAAAGAAACTCAGTATACTACAGTGGCAACCTCTTATTGACAAGATGATTGCAAGAATCACTTCTTGGACTGCAAAGATATTATCTTATGCAGGGAGGGTACAATTAGTACAGAGTGTTTTGTTTGAAATTCAGGCTTTCTGGGCTCGGCTATTTGTGATACCTACCAAGGTGGTGAAATTGATTGAAGGAATATACGGATCTTATATCTGGTCAGGTGGCAATTTAATCACAAAAAAAGCCTTGGTTGCTTGGGATATAATGTGTCTGCCCAAGGCTGGAGGAGGACTCAACATCACCAACCTAAGGATTTGGAATCGTGCAGCAATAGCCAAAACTTGCTGGGATCTGGCACATAAGCAGGACAAATTGTGAATTCGATGGATTCACACCTATTATATCAAGGGGCAGAACTTCACCAATTGGACAACACCACAAAAAGCTTGTCGGATGGTCAGGAAAGTATTTAAGGCCAAGGCTGTAACACCCCATAAATTTGAATCAGTTGTGGATGCATTAAATGAGTATTAACGTGATGGTAATCAATTGGTTATGATAATAAGTGTACGAGGCATATCATAAGTGATTTGGGGTCCAAGGAGAGACCTAAGTCTAAGCCAAGTTGGAAAATTACATGATAGACTAAAATTCCAAATGAGTGCGCACAAGACCACACTTTGGACGAGCATATCTACAGATATATAAGGTGTTAGTGATGCATAACCTATCAAATGAAATGTCTTCGAGTTTAGTTTATAACTCTTCAAACCGTTCGTCATTTGAACATTCCTACAAGAAGTTATGATCAAATTGCCAAAATTAGACCACCCAGTTATTTTGGCGGACAGCGAAGCGAGACTCGCTTCGCCAGACCGGGCGCGGATCTTGCCTTCCCTTGAAGGCGCTGGACAGCAAAGTGAGGCTCACTTCGCCACGGCCCAACTAGGGTCTTTTTAAGCAAATTCGGGGGTTCACTTCCCCCATTTCTTTTGGACGAATTTTAGGATTTTCCTCCACTCTCTCAAGACCTCCAACCCCTCCCATATTCAAGGTAAGCAATCCCCATTATCTTGGTGTGAATTCCATCATTTCTACACTAGTATTGATGAAATCTACACATAAAATACTTAGATCTTCAAGAGATTTCTTCAAGAACTCAAAGGAGGTTTTACAAGATTTCTTCCAAAAAGGTAATCCTACACTCTTAGACTTACATGTATGGATTTATTAAGGGAATATGAGTATGAATAAGTATTGGAACTCTTGGTATGGTGATTGGAAGCCATAAGTTCCCAATTTAATTACATAACTATTGTAGAGATTGAAAGATGATTATTTAATGGAACTTTGTTGGTTGGGTGTGGATGGATGGTCGTATATGTGATGTTGGAAGTTATAAATTGGTTAATCATGATGGTGTGATAAATTGTTGATGAATGGTGGTAGTTGGATGAACTAACCATATAGTGATGAGATGTAGAGATTTATGCCTACAAGGTGTTTGATAATATGCCTAAATGGATTAAGTTATGGAATTTGTTACTAATATTGGGTCCATTGGATGTTGCTATTGTAGATTGAAGGCTCTTAGTGTTGTGGATCATTGTAGTATCACTAAAGAGCGAAATTGAGGTATGCGAGGCTAACTCTCTTTACGTTTGGGAATGTTTATGATTCTCCCTACGTCCCATCCTTTATGATTGTTACGAGTTTCCTCATAAAGTAATTATGTCTTAGTTCCATGAATTATTGCAGAATTTATGTTCTCTAACTTCATAACTCGTTCATGACTTTCATTCTGAACATTGTGAGCTTAGTGCGTATTCAATATAGACTTGGGTTTGATGCCCCGAGTCACAGTATTGATTACTCAGTATGTCATAAACAACCGAAGTTTCAGTGTTCATAATCAGTTCAAGAATTCATGTCTCAGTCTAGTCATATTCAGTATTTCAGTATTATGTAAATCAATGTGATTCAGTATTTCAGTATCATGTATTGCGGTATGATTCTCAGTTCTTGATTTTAAATCCCTGAATGTTGAACACCTGTATTTGGGCCTGAGGCCGCAGTTTGTGCACAGATATATTGGGCCTGAGGCCGACGTTTAATATATAGATAAACAGGTTGTTCATCATTCAGAAGAGGGAGTATTCATATCCTTACTTACTTTGTTCAATTCAGTTATGAGTTATCAGTTATCATTTCAGTTATCAACTATCAGTTATCATTTGAGTTTCAGTTACAACAATTATTATTATTTCAGTTATCAATTTTCAGTTCTCAATTGTTAGCTCAGTATTAGTTTCAGCGTTTATAGTTCTTTCTTTCAGTTGCTTCACATACCAGTGCAATTCAAATGTACTGACGTCCCTTTTGCCCGGGGCCTGCATCTAACGATGCATGTAATGATTTACAGGTTGACGATTCAGAGTGCTAGGATTCTCGTACCAGCTATTTGGTTTTTTCAGGGCATTATCAGTACCTTACAGTCTTCAGTATTTTCAGACAGTCAATTTTTTTCCAGTACTTCATTAGAGGCTTCATAGGCTAGAGTAATAGTTAGACATAGTCACAAGCTTTTCATGTTAAGCAATGTTGGCTAGAAACATGTTTCAGACTTGTAGTTTCCACACTTTGATTTTTATCACTCAGACTTTCAGTATATCACCATTTGTTAGTTTATCTTCCGCATTTAGTATGTTATGATATCACATGTTGATTCGTCCAACCAATTGGTTCGCTCAGTCACATGTAGTCAGGCACCGAGTGCCGTGTTACGTCCAGACCTAGGTTCGGCGCGTGACAAAGGCAATTCTAGAGAATCAATATACACAATCACTCAAGAAAAGCTTAATCCGGCAAATATACTTGACTCTGCTTGGTGATTACAGTCGAGTGGAGTGGAAAAGCTTAGTGTTTAATAATGCTGCGCGACCAAAAGCTAAATTCTCAATGTGGCTCATGATGCATGGAAAGAAATTAACTTCTGATAGGTTCTGTAAATGAGGACTTAACGTGGATACTCAATGTGTGTTGCCCAAGGCAGGAGGAAAATAGAGAACGGTTATTTTGGAGTGAATTCACTAACAGTGTCTGGACCAAACTACTTCAATGGATGCAACTTCAATGTCCTAGAACTACAGATTGGCAGCAACATAACCAATGGATCATCACCTGTTCTGAAGGTAAATCTCAGCAAGCACAAGTGTTCAAAATGGTATTTGTAGAAGCTATGTACCAAATTTGGATTGAAAGGAACCTTAGAGTTTTGAAAAGAAGTAGACAATGGCAAAGTATTGTGAAGGAGGTTGTTTACATATGCAACGTACGTGTGCTTCCTGGAGCCAAAGCCTATCTACATAGTCTTCGGTTTGAATAGTTTCTTTTTTTTTTTTTTTTTTTTTTTTTTTTTTTTTTTTTTGTTATTCTGGAATTTCTTCAATAAGTAGATTTTAGAACTTAGTCGAAAATGGCTGTTTTGTATCCTGTAGTCGCCTAATGAGATAGCTAGCTGTGTGAGCTAAGCTATGGGAATATAAAAATATTTCTTTGGTGATTAATAAAAATAAGTTAGTTACAAAAAACAAAAATCTAAGAATATCAAGCCAAGAAACGTAGATACTTCAAAACTTTTTATAACTAAAAAATAATTAAAAAATTATAAGTACTGTACATTTATCAATTTTTATTGAAAAGAATAACAAATCAGTTTAGCCGAATACATTATAATAACCACCTATACTAAGCTAAGTTATTACGTAAAACAGAATATTAATCTTCTAATTTAGAAAACGAAAAACAATTTTAATCTTCTTTCCTAGAGAATCACAATATATTCCTCTTTCCTTTTTTTTTTTTTTTTTTTTTTAAAAATTATCTCCCCAGCATCTAAGTTTTTCTTTTGGAAAAAGAATTTATCCCAAAAACCAAGAGTAGCCGCCCCTCCGCTCAAACCTCAAATAAAGAAATAAAAAGTACAAGTATAATTTCATAAATAAAAAAATAAAGTTTAAATTCAATGCACTTATAATGTAACAAATATATATACAATCATATCATTTACTAAAATTATATATTAAATTCAATGCACTTATAATGTAACAAATATATATACAATCATATCATTTACTAAAATTATATATTAATTTATTAACAAATATTAATGGATAATGCTATAAATGATAATTAACCTAATCATCACAAATTAAAATTCACAATATTATAAGAAAATAAGAAACCCCAAAAAATAAACTAAAAGAAAAAAGGAAAAGAAAAAAAGAAGAAAAAGCCACTATTTTTCCAGCTTTTCTTTTCTTGTATACCATTTTCCCTATTTCTCCTTCATCATCTTCTTCTCTTCTCCCTCTCTTTGAATCAAATTCCCTTTAATTTTCCACAAATTTCGTTTCCATTAGATTCTCTCTCTTATTTTCCCTTCTCTTTCCCATTCCATTCCCATTTCCATTTCCTCTCTAATTCTTTTTTTCAAGAATCCTAAAACCCACTTAACCTTTTTTCTTTCCTCGTATTATCTTCCCAGATTTAGGGTTTCTCTTCAACTCTATAATTTTTTTGTTGTTGTTGCAATTTTCCCCATTCATTGTATTATTCTTTTATTTTATTTTATTTTAATTAAAAAGGGGAGACTTTTGTTGAAAAATACTTGTTCCAAGTGTTTTCCATATATATATATGACTGATATTAGGTATTAGGGTTTTGATTTTTTTTTTCTGAGGTCACCAAAAAGAAGTCATTATTGGTAATTTCTTTTGGTTTTTTTCTGGATCTGAGGGTAATTTCAAGATTTTAACCTGTTTAGTTGAATTGGGTTTAAGTGAAATCAAGAAAAGATTCAATCTTTGAGTATGGATCATGTGGTAGGTGGCAAGTTTAAGCTAGGCCGAAAGATCGGTAGTGGATCTTTTGGGGAACTTTATTTAGGTAATCACAATTTGTATTTCTTGATTGTTGTTAATTTCAATTGTAGCTTAACATTTTTTTGTGATGAGACTTGTGTTGACTTTCAGTTTTTTATATCAGGGGTCAATGTACAAACTGGAGAAGAAGTTGCTGTGAAGCTGGTGAGTATGTTTATTAGAATTAAAGATTGGGTCTTTTCATTGGATTTGAATAAAATTAAGAATGTTGATTTAGCTGAAGCTGGAAACTCAGTACATGGTTGTGGTGTCAATTGTCTTAAGATTGAGCTTTTCACTAGAGCTAAATGAAACTAAAAACAACTTTAAGAAAATTACAAAAACAATGAGTCTTTTACTAGAAGATGAGAAGATTATTCTTGAGTTATCAATTGTCAAATAAAAAACTCACAATATCATAGATACACATTGCTATATTGTGCTTTGTTGCTGTTCCAAAAAAAAAAACATTGCTATTTTGGCTGAATGTTCGAGTAACGTTGCTTATTTGACCCTTTATTTGGTTAGTCTGCATTTGCTGGATATACCTTCTATATCTGAAGAGTCTAGAATAATTTTGCTTGACTTAGACATATTGGTTTGGTAGGGGACCATATTGTGATGTATTATAAGACTACATTTGTGGCTTGCTTCTTTCACCATCCGTCAAGTGTTTTAGAACATCAATGAATTTTTCTTGCGCTTTCTATGCAGGAGTGTGTTTCTAGTGCTATGTTTAGTACTGAAGGGTTTTTCTTTGACACATTAGCTTTTTTTTTTTGGTTTCCAGGAATCAACTAAAACAAAGCACCCTCAGCTTCATTATGAATCAAAGCTGTATATGCTTCTACAAGGAGGAAGTAAGTAATAGCTTCTACCCGTCAGTGTTGTCAAAGGCGCGCTTAAAGTGCGCTTAAGCCTTGAAGTGAGGCTCAAAACATGTTGGGCGTTTTGCCTCGCTTTGTGGGCGCTTTAGTATCGCATCAAGGCTCTAACGCATACTATTCCTTGCCAATGATTGTAATCATGAAAAGACAACAATAAACAATTGATATTTCACTTTATAGTATATTTTTTTCCAATTTCTTTGTCCATATATTAGTTATTCATGGTTATAATTATTAGTCTTGGACTACATATACATATTTTTACTTTTTCTTCAGTTGCGCCCTTTTTCATTAGAGCCCACACTTTATTTGCGCATTGCGCTTAAAGCCCCAACGGACCTTAGAGCTTTTTTGCGCTTTTCGCCTTTGATAACATTGCTACCCGTGAATATCAATGACGGATTATATTTTTTTGAGCTGAACTGATCTGTTTTTTTCTTTTATCATTTTCTTACTTTAAGCTGGAATTCCACACCTCAAGTGGTTTGGCGTTGAAGGTGAATACAATGCCATGGTTATTGACCTTCTTGGGCCAAGTTTGGAAGACTTGTTTAACTATTGCAATAGGAGGTTCACTCTAAAGACAGTGTTAATGCTGGCAGATCAATTGGTAAATAATCAGAATTTTATATGCAGATTAAAGATTAATTATTTTAGTTGTTTGCCTAAGACTTCTTATCATATGCAGATTAATAGAGTTGAATATATGCACTCGAGGGGATTTCTTCATCGCGACATTAAGCCCGACAACTTCTTAATGGGTTTAGGGCGTAAAGCAAATCAGGTGTGCACTTCATAATATGTTTTCTAAGTGTCTATGTTTGTGCGCGTGGTTTACAATAATGTTTCATGCTCCTACGTGTTTGGACTGGCTATTCGGGATAATTCTCCACCCACTTGTCTGGAAACTAGATCATTGAGGATCTAGGCGAGTTAGTACTTTCTTAGGGGTTTGGAGTTCCACTAGAAAAGCGCTTTTCCAGCATTTGTGTAGCTCGAATACTCTATCTTGCTCGCTGAGCTTGATCTAGGAACCTTGGAGTAACGTCTTTTTGGTGTTCCCTTATGTTATCCGGAACTCAAGAAGTCATATTTCTTCTTTCCTCTCTCTCTCTCTCTCTCTCTCTCTCTCTAACCTCTAACTCACTCTCATGCTCTCTCTGCCTTTCCCTTCTCTTAAAGCTCAATGAAATCTTTCTCATAAAAAAAGAAGATCAAGGAAGACAATTCCTGTGACATGAACCTTTACATTCGTGTCCGAGAATCTAGCCAACTGGCCAGGAATGCATTTGGTTCGATTTCTAGGAGAAATGCTCAAAATCCGATTTATTTTCCTATTGCATATATTTTAACGAGCTACACTGAATGATTTTCCTCTCTTTAGTGTATAGTTTTCTAATGCGGCGGTCAGTGCTTATGCTTGAGTTTGGGAGGTAGAAGTTCTTAAGTACCAACAAATTCTGGTAATTAGACACTCACAAATGGAAGAATTTTTCTTTCCGGATAGAAGAGGATGAACTTCCCCCATACTTTAGTTTATAAAAGTGACGTAGCCTTATAGATATTCTACAATTGTATCTTATATGATGCTATCGAAGATGAGCATGTGGTTGACTTGACCATCTTGTAATTAATGGATCAGCAGCTTCTTGTCTCTGTAGGCTCTACCATTGTGAGTCTACATTATAAAAAGTTTACAATTTTTCATGGTAAAACAATTCCCGTGGCATGAATGCTACAGCTCTAAATAATTTTGGGTGTTTTCTTTTGCTATAACAGGTATACGTCATTGACTATGGTCTTGCCAAGAAGTACAGAGATCTTCAGACGCATAAGCATATACCATACAGGTATAAAATGTGAACCTCTTCTGTTCCTGACAGATCTCCATATGGTCTTCACTTTTAGAAAATAAAATGCTCCAACTGACTACAAAGAGCTAGAATCAGGGACTTGATAGAGAGAAGCCGAAGGTTTTGTTTCCATTTATCAAAGAGACGGCTTCATTTTGATTCTCGCAGTAGTGAGCATTTGGTTTTTAGCTCAAACCAAGTACTGACCTTCCCTGATTTGTTATGTTTTCTCCAAAGTTCACATTTGCATTAGCTGAGTCAAAGCTACCAATATTGTTTGACTGTACTTCTGTAAATTTTAGTGGAACTGTTTTTCCCCTCCATTCTTTCTTGGACACTTATTTTATTTTTTAATTCGCTGCCTATCCCTTCTATATACACTACCACCAAGCTTCTCAATAGTTGATGGTTAGACGAAGAAAAACAAATTTGGAGGTTTTCATTCTTATCGTGCTTTTCTTTCCTTGACCTTATTTTTATAGGGTTTTGGGTGGATGGATTGGAGTGTATATGGATTTTTGAATAATTTATTTACTTTCTTTGACAGGGAAAACAAAAACCTCACAGGAACTGCTCGTTATGCTAGTGTTAACACCCATCTTGGAGTTGGTAAGCGAGTTTGATTTTGTCTTGAATACCTAGTAGTTTTCCGAATTGAACATATTAACATAAGTCCTCTCTTCCTTGCATGCAGAACAAAGCAGAAGAGACGATCTGGAGTCTCTTGGTTATGTGCTTATGTATTTCTTGAGAGGAAGGTTTGGGAATTCAGTTTAATGTTAATCTTTTGGTTCCTGTCTTTGAATTTCCATGTGCATTACTTGTTTCTTACAATTAGCATATTTAATTGTCTTTGTTAGCCTGCCGTGGCAAGGTTTGAAAGCTGGCACCAAAAAGCAGAAATATGACAAGATTAGTGAGAAGAAGATGCTTACACCTATAGAGGTAGTGTGACTTTATATACGTTATATGTTCCATTTAAAATCTTGATATGAGATGTTGCATGTTTTTGGTCATACAGGAAAGTACTGCGTCTTACAAGTATATGCCTGCCCTAAATATATGGTCTGTGCATAAACTGCATAATGACATATTCCATTGGTTTTTGTTAAGCAGGTGCTTTGCAAATCCTATCCCTCAGAATTCATATCATTTTTTCATTACTGTCGATCATTACGGTTTGATGATAAGCCAGATTACTCATACCTGAAGAGGCTATTCCGAGACCTTTTTATTAGAGAAGGTACATTTGCTAGTTTATGATGCTAGTAGTTTCAGCCATCCCATCCCTTCTATCCTTTTTATTTTCTCTTTGGTATTTATCGTATGTTTTATTTCAGTAGTCTTATACAAGAAACTTATTTTTGTGTGCATTTCAGGTTATCAATTTGACTACGTATTTGACTGGACTATATTGAAATATCCACAGATTGGCTCTACTTCAAGAGGACGAGTCTGTCCCTTTATTCTACCCTCACTAAAAAATTATCTACTGTCACTTGATTTCTGCGTTATAAAGATACACTAGTCTTACCCTTCTGTTTCTTTTTCAGCAACCTACTGGGAGATTACCTGTGAACCCAGGACCATCCGCTGAGAGAGCAGAAAAGATTCCTGGTACTGTTTTAAGAAACTTTGGCTTAAGAAGTAACATCGAGAATTTCTGATAGTGTGTTCATTGATGTTTAGGCTCATGGTGCTTGTCCTTTGTCTCCAATCTAATTTATGCTTTTTGTAAAATAACCAATTATTGGGAGCGGGATATAAGCCTCTTGAGGGGGAAAGAGAGACGTATGGTGCTCAAGTATGTGCATAGACCAAAAGTTGGATCTACCCTAGTCTGGGGGAATGGGTGCTCTTCTCTCTATACCCCCCCCCCCCCCCCCCTCAACCAGAAAAAAACACTCCTGGTTTATTGCACAGGAGATGCCTATGCATCAGGTTGTGTTCCATCTTTTGTTAGCTTGCTCACTCCTGGTATCTATCAGAGCAGAACTAGTTTGCTGAAAGATGAAAATGGGATCTCCCTTGGTAAAACTTGGAGAAATTTGACCCAAGAAATGTCAATGCAGTATAAAATCTCAAGGAAGAGAAATCCTTTTAGTTATTAATATAAACAACTATTAACAACTAGTGTTGCATGTTTGACCTTCCAAAAAAGCTAGTGTTGCATGTATTTTTGTACCATATATATGAGAAATGTGTACAGTATATGATGAAGTCCATTAGCTGTTCTGGTTACTTAATGAGCTTCTGATATGAGACACTTATCCATAAATTGTGAACTGGAATAGTGAATGTTCCAACTGACCAAACAGTTGAGTAGTTCTGTCTCCTTCTGATGTTATGGGGCATAAGGTGCTTTTTGGGTCAGGGAATAAATGATGCACAGAAGTTGGCCATTATGGGTTAGTTTATCTCTGTTTGAGAAGATCGTAACGAGCTGTCCACTTTTCTTACCATGCCCAGTGCCCCCCACCTCGCAAGAATAATCAGAGGAAGGCGAGGCAGAGAGAGTTTTTAATTACCCCCCTCCCCCAACCCCCAACCCCCAAAGAAAAAAAAAAAAAGAAAACAGAAGAATTTGTAGGTTAAATTTCTGGTATCATGTTACAGAATTGTATTCCGGAAGCTAATTTTTATATTTGACCGAGCTCTTTTACAGTGAGGCAGGAAATTAAAGATAGGTTTTCTGGTGCTGTTGAGGCGTTTACTAGAAGGAACATTTCTGGAACTGGTTTGCAAGGGGACCATTTGAGACACCACAGATCTTCAGACGATGTACCATCATCCAAGGACGTGGTAAGCGGCGCATATGATTATCTTTTATCTGCCTGAACCTGTGGGATTCTGTACGATATTTTGCATCCTCTCAAGTTTGCATGCATTAATTTGTTCCTACGCGGAGCTTTCTTGGAATTGGAACCTGCTGATATTGTTTATATTGTCAGCAAGCTGATGCTGAAAGAGGCCGTGTAACTCGGACTGGTAGCACCTCGAGGAGGGCTGTCATGGGAAGCAGCCGACCAAGCTCATCTGGTGAACCCACTGACAATCGCACTGGTCGATTGGGTTCAAGTAGTGGCCGTATTTCCACTACCCAAAGAGTGCAACCCGGATTTGAATCCAAGTCATCATCTTTTACCCGCGCTACTGCAACCAGAGGCGGTAGAGATGATGCTCTTAGGAGCTTTGAGCTGCTAACTATTGGCACTGGAAGAAGGAAATGAGAGGCTATATGATGTCTAAAATCTGCCCCCTCAAGGTACCAAAACTTTTTAACCGCTTGCATTCAAGTATTTCCTTATTCTTGATTTTAGTCCTCGGCTAATTTGATATTATCGTTACTGGTTTTGCTGATAGTTGAGCAGCAGATTGAGCAACTTTCTTTAAGCACTTCCCGACAATCGTGCACTGATTCTTGCAATTTAACAGGCTTGCTAAACTTTCAGAGATAGGGGGGCTGGTTCTCTGTTTGTATATTTGAGAATGCCTCTCTAATGTGTGATGTTGTAGACCGGGATGTCTCGAAAATAAAAATGTTTCACATCTCTGTAAATTGCTTAATGCAGAGATGAGCATAGCTCCCTTTTTTTTCCTGATGCATGGCTGCTATGTTTGCAAATGGGGAGAAAGTTTAGTGGAAAGTAAATAGTTCATGGTTATGCAGTGTAGTTCCGATTACTTTAGGGGCTACCTCGGTACTTTTTCTTAGTTGTGTGGTTCTTGTGCCAAGAAAGATATTCATATACTTTATGTAATGTACCTTAAATTTATTCTATCCAATCTTCCTATATGATTGTTACTATTTGAAAGAGCCTCTTGCAGAAAGTACAATAGACTCTTGTGGTCCGGCCCTTCTTCGAATTCCGCGCATAGCGGGAGCTTAGTGCACCGGGCTACCCCTTTTATGGAATCTGATTTGATTGGCTATGGCTTAATTACACTTGCAATAATGCTCTAGTTCTACTGATATGGCACCGATTATTTATTATTTTTCTAGATTTATCGGTGCAAGTATATGGTCATTGTTATGATGAATTTGAGTTTATAATTTTGAATCTCTATTTTCTTGGACGAGACTAACTAGGCATTTCATGATAAGAGGGGTTGGTTAGATTGTTAATCCCTCCCACCTACAACCCCAGGGTCGTGGGTTCGAGTCACCAAACGAGCAATAGCTCCAATGAAGGGGAATTTTAAAAAAAAAATCTGTGGAATTTGACGTGGGTGTTGAGAATTCACCCCTGTTCTTTGAGGTGATTTTTACTAAGTAGTTCCCAGTTTGATAGTACAAGATATATAACTTCTTATAGCATTATGGTACAACTTTACAAGGAAAAGCTTCGACACTTGAAATTGAAATGAAATTAACATATTATCCAATAACCTTGGATCAAGAAATATGATACTAAGAGAAAAAAAAAAACTCACTAAATAATGTATAAATTTGTTGCCGTTTAGAATGTTAGGGGTCGTTTGATACGAGGGATAAGGTGGGATGAGATGTGATTAAATTTATACTTCCCACCAAATAAGGTATAAATTGTATTTCAGATTTAATTCAGGATATCCCATCTTATCCCAACAAATTTGGGATTATATCCCATTCATGTAATATAAATTAATCCGGGAATTATAATTCCGGGATAATTTATTTCGCGTACCAAACGACCTCTTAGTGCTCATCTAGTGCCGAGCGACTGACTACCAGTACACTGCTAACGTATTAAAATGAAGTACTAGAATTTAAACAAAGCCATAAAGTTGGTGGAATGGTTGAGTTCGTTCATCTTTGATCAGAGGTTTTAGGTATCTGGTACGAGTTGTATATTTCCTTAATATGCACAAATTTTGCAAATTACTCATTTGCATATTAAATGAATTGATTTTATTTTCTATAGGATCTTTACCTTATTTTTTCCCTTTCAATGTTTTCATAAAAAAATATAGTTTAAATTTTTCATAAATGAGATTCCTAAAGCACCATTACTCACAAAGGTGAAAAATATAAAGGTAGTTTTCTCTTTAATTTTTGTCTAAAGAGGAAAAATAGTCTTTTATAGTAAGTGCATCAAACATTATTTTTTCTTCTTTTTCCATGAGCCAACTTTGATATAGTTGTTCACAACTACCTTGTGTTCTTGTAATATTGGCTTTGTAAGGACATGGTATAATTAAAGTAATAAATTATCAATATTCACAACTAATTGCTGAGACCAATTAATGTTATTTCCAGTTTACACAATCATAAGTGATTATAATAATATCATTTACAAGTAAGTAAATTGAAGTTTGTCCAAAATATCACAAAGCAATCTGATTCGTTTGACATAAAGATAATCATAAAATTTAGTAGATCCATTCTGTGATTACATCAATCTACTGAGTCTGATTCAAAAGAAATCAGATTGCTGCAATTTATTAAACAAAAAAAGTTAGTGTTTTATGCTAGTTGGACAAAATCACACCTCGGATTTGAAATAAAATTATAACGGGAATTTACTTTGAAATTCAAACTCATAAATCTGTCGTATTAAATATAGAGCTAAACGACAAGTCTGATGTAATCTAAGAATGTGAATATTTGACTTAGAAATAAAACAGAGCTTTCTTCGTAATATATTACTGCAGGTTAGTTAAATATAAACAAAAATAAGGAGAAAGACAAATCCCAAATAAAAAAAACATTAGTTTTTAAATTTTTGTTTTGTGAAGCTGTCACACATTGTTACAATATTGAGCTTACCATTAGAAATCTGGAATAAAAATAAATAAAGGGCAAGATTACACCCTGAGTAGCCTATAAATTCCCTTCACATTTCACAAAAAATATTGTGCAAAGTTAGTATTTTCTCTACCATTGTTTCATTGGAAAGATCTTTCTTTAGAAAACTTTCTCATTCATTTTTCAACATGCAAAACACAAATCCTTCTCCTCCTCCAATTTTAATACCTTGTCGTGTACTACTTCGTTGCCCTTTATGTTATGGCATTTTTCGTACTCATTTTGACTTTATGAATCATTTACAATTTCACCCGTTATCTTCTGAGCAAGATGTCATTCTACGTTCTGGTGTAGATGCGGCCGCTCTTCCTTCACAAAGCCATTTGCAACCAACTCAGCCCGCGCCACCACAACATGCAAGTTCGAGAAGAAATGACAGAGGTATTGTTCTACCATCATCATCATCGTCGAATCGTTCTCACCCTACTAATGAAGGGCATCAAATGGCAAGAAGAAATAGAGGTAGAGCTCCAAGTACAACATTTCTTGATTTAAATGTGACTCATGATGGTACAAAACCATTGATAAATCAGTTGGATGTTCCTATTTCATCAAATGCAGTTGCATTAGATGAAGAACCAAATGGTTTGGACTTGAGCTTGAGGCTTTAGAGCAAAAAATATAAGGATTTTCTTTGTTGGAGTCTTTTGTTTTATTTTAGTCAGTCTGATATGCTAAGGTTGGAGTCTTATGTTATGTTTTGTTTTATTCTATTTTAATTTTTGGCTGATAGGGTGTGTCAAAAAATGTGTAAGGTTGGAGTCTTTTATTTTATTTTACTAAATATTTGTTTGATTTAGATATTCCTATCCCATTTGTTTTCATTCAATTTTCAATTTTTCTTGTCGAAAAATTAATTTTCCTATTGTTCAAAATTGCAGTTGATTCCACAAATTATTACTGGATTTTGCCTACTAACATTATATCTGCAAAATTATTTTTAATGATAGGATAATTGAACTATTAATTTAGTAAAAAAATAAAAATGACATGAAGGTTTAATTTCAGATTTAGGTATGATATATCACTCATCATATCGATATTTTTTCACCCCGTAAATTTCAAATAAAAAAATAAACCTTCAACCTTCATGGACTTTCAAAATTATCCTTGCCTTGAAGCCAAATACGGACATGTACCCAAGGCCAGAGCTAGAAGTCCCTCTCTGTATTCGGTCGAACCCAATAGTTTTTTGTTCAAACAGTATATTTGTGTTAAATTTTTTTATCAAATACATGTATAAATGTTAAATTTAGAATCCAATTATTAACACTTGAAAATTAAAATTGCCGTTTTAACTAAAACTCATAAAGTTAAAATTTTGGCTCCCTCCATGTATGTACCACTTGAACAACTCAAACTGATATGTTAAAAGAGGCAAAGAAAATAATTTTCGAAGCTATAATGTAAAAACAAAAAATAAAAAATTAAATAGTTATTCACGAGTATCGACGGAGATTTCAAGTATAGCTTGATTGAATTCAATTGTAGTAAGAATGGCGTAACACAAAGGAAGCTAGTCCTGTCTTTACTCCTTAAATCTTAGGATCGTATGTACATCTGTCTGGACTAGTCATGTATTTGACTTAGATATTAAATGTTGCCAAATATATTCTCTAGATTTTATTTTATGAAGACTGTTAAAGACTGGATGGTGATACGAGATACTAATAACTTGACGTTGGCCCTAATACAAAATATATAATCTCTATTTTTTTTACGAGCCACTAAAGATTGAATGGTGACACGAGATGTTGAACTCAAGTTGGTCTTAATACAAAATATACGATCTCTAGATATTGTTTTATGAAGACCATTAAAATTTGGATGGTGACACGACATACTGAAATGAAGTTGGCCCTAGTACAAAAGAAATTATGCCAAATACGTATTTTATTCCATTTTATCTGTGGTATTTGATTGAACATGAAGTTTTTAAAAAGAAATTTTAAAATTGAAAATTCGACCTTAATTCAGGGGGTACTTATGCTTTTTTTTCTTACTAGTTTCTGGTCACGCACGTTGCACGTGGAGCTATTATTTTTTAATTTATGTGGCATATTATGGATTTCGAGCCTTCATAAATTTGACCGTGAATTCGAACATAAATCTTTAAATTCTTTAAAATAAAATTTATATATTTAAAAATTCTGTAATAAGTATTATAAGTTACAATAATAAGTAATTTAAAATATTGAAAAGGTATTTAAAAAATTAGATTTTCGAAATCCGATAACAACCATATAAATTAGGATGGAGGGAGCACATAAATTTAAAATTCACATAAAAAATATTTTAAAAAATTATGTTTGAGATATTAAATAAAAATCAACTTAAAAATAACGAATATTGATCTTATTTATCTGATTCGACAAAGGAAGAAGTCATAGTAAAATTTTATGTCAAAGTAATGAATTTAAAAGTACATATAATGTTCATCTTTCGATCCTTATGTAGGGATTTTACTAATGGAATTTTTACCTCCTATAACAAAGGTTAAAACCTTATTTATTTTAAATAAATACCATTTAAAAAAATTATATTCTATAGATACCTTTTAAGGTTTATAGCAAAATATTTAATTTTGGTTACCTCCTAGCCCTAAGCCACTAAATACGCTAATCAGTTACACTATCTTCTTTCTCTCTCTACTTTGATACATCCCATTCTCTTCCCCCATCCCATTAAAATTTTCGATCTCCTCCTCCTTCCATCGGATTTGTGCAAAGCCCACTTCAGAAATTACTGTATGTGTTTTGATTAAAAAAAAAACCCTCGACTTCAGCAATGGAAATAGTGCATAATCGGAATCGATCGCGGAGTAAGTCGGTGGCTGCTTCTTCCTCTTCTCTGTCTAGTTTGCTTGCCATTTCTCCTCCGTCGATATCCTCCATTGTAGTAGGAGAATTGTTAGAGTATAGTTGCACTCGCAAATTAGGTGCCGATTGCGAAGGATGCGCGGGAAATAGGAGGGCGGGTCGAAGGAGTTGTTCAAGTATATTTGTGTCTGCCAACTTCGGTT